CAACGCTGTTGATGGCTTCTTTTTTCGAAAAACACTTCACTGACAAGCAGGCTGATGGTGAGTTTGATTCCCTGGCATATATCAGTACTAATTTTGCCAGCAGCATCGAAACGAATGAACGAATCGTAAAAACGGGCCGTCCTACTGGCGGATTGGAATTCCCGACCTAATGCATGGCAAGAACGGCAATCCCTACTGCGTCATGTCTGCCCGTGAATGCATGGAGTATGTTCGTATTTTCATTAAGGCCTCAACAAGTGCACCGGAAAATTACCAGGCTATGAAAAATATGGCCAGTATACCAAAAACTTAACAAAAACTAAAAATCATGCATTTGCAACGAAGAGCGCAAAACACTGCTCTTAAGTGGCTGCACCAAAGCAGATTTTTCTTCTTTCTTTTTTTAATAAACGCGTGAAAAGTTCAAGAATGCTTAAGATTCTTGCAGACTTCAAAACATTCTAATTCAGTTTTTATGCGCTTTTTGCAGCTATGCAATGCAAAAACGCACACTGACGAGAGGTTGTCTGTGTGTTCGTGTGTGTGTGTGTGTGTGTGTGTGTGCGTGTCTGTCATGCACTTTCATCTCAAGACCTATAAAAGTTGCAGGGCTAAAATTTCGGGAACTTAATCTACATGCACGTGCTGGCCCCAGTCTCCAAAATGGGCACCATCACCCGCGTGGTACCCGCGTACGGGCCCGCCAAATTTTTTCGGGTAAGTTCATAACTCAGGGGTCTGAGAAGCTAGAACGCTGAAATCTTTGGGGGATGTTCCCTGTTCAAGTGGGTACTGACGAGTTCAAACCCTGCCCACGAGTAAGCGTGGTACCTACGTGCAGGCCTGTGAAAGCTTCTTCTGGATGAGTTGCTAACTCGAGAACGTGAGAAGCTAGAAGACTGGAATTTTGAGGGGATGTTTCATGACAGTTCTGGCGGCCAGTCTGAAATTCTTTTAGCTAGAAGCATCTGCCGAAAAAATCAGCGCTATTAGTGACAAAAACCTGCGGGGAGCTATGAAAAAAATGCGTCTTCGCACGATCAGTCCGTGCGTTGGCCAATTATTATATTTGCTTTTAATTATTGCTTTTTGTTACAACCCTTTTCATAGCCATAAAATATTCAAGTTCAAAAGTTCCTCTCAAAACAAACCATGTCGCCGGATCTTTGATAGAGCTG